ATTAAAATCATTTAGCTAAATTTATTAGTAATTATTGATAAAGGATGTAAGGAATAGTGAATTGGATAAGGAAGGTTAGTTGTTTTATCTAATTTTTATTAGATACTTGACATTTAAAAAAAAATCTCAAGTTTGAGATTCCATAGCACAGTCCCTCAGCAGGATGGGTCCCTTAACCCTTAAAAGTCACTTACTCTTTGGCTTGAGGCATGATGCGTGCTGATTTAACAGCAGAGTCCTGTAATTTGTAGGATGAGAAATCATCCTTTCCTTTAATGTGTCCTCCCTAGGAAAATGCTTCGCAGCCAGCCAAATCAGCAGGTGATGGAAGCCCAATCACCCTGTGGTAATGGGAACTGGATAAATTCAAGGACTGTCTTATCTAAATGGTTTGACGTTCCCTGTTCGCCTGGCTAATTGCATCAGTCTCCTCTCCTTTTTCTTCCACTGCTGAGACTTGGCGGATATGAGTGTCACAGTCTTCCGCAGTTGGAATGTGCCCTGGACAAGAGCTCACAGCCCGTTTCTGCAGCCTAGAGAGATCCAACAGGCCTTGTTTGCTGACCCCAGAAATGCTTGACAGTGTTAATCCTAAGACAAAAAAAATTCACATTCACTTCTGCATACTTCTGAGCAAAGCTGTGGCTAACTGATTGTCATCTTTGCTGGCAGACTGGTGATACAATCTGACTGAGGAGTTAAAGAGCCTGATGGATTCAGGACACGAGAATGGGCTGAAAGATCTGTCTATCTACCACTGCCACTGTGGCTTTTTCCAGCCATCTGTCTTGTTATAGTCCGTTCAGAATACAGTGCAATCCCCTCTGAGCCATAGGATTAGAAATCAGACCTCACGTCCAACTATGATGTGGGGCAAGCATTGCCATAGAGAGTGTAGAAACCAACCTGTGGTGTTTGTGACTCCCAGCACTAACAAAGGACATCAGTCAGGTTTCCATATAAATTTTTCCAGTGAAAGCAAAAGTAATTACTTGTGAATCAGGTCTTCAGGCAACTGGTAGACCTTCCATTTTTGCTAATCTCTTGTTCTGGACTGAATTTCTGTGGTGTGCAAGACACTTTGTCCTCAAATGCTGCTCTTTTTGAAGGAAGAAAAGAAACTGAGGTTGGTTAAGGCACCTGAGCCAGCTCCATGTATTGAAGCAAAAGAATTGAGGACAGAGTTTCTGGTAGCTGGAGCCTGATGCTGTTTGTAGAACAATGTCTAGTTCCCATGCAGAATTCAGTAAAGGCAGAGATTTATATGGAGGTCAGAGGGCTTGGGTCAGGAAACAGCTCCCTACTTGAGAATAGGGGTGTTCTGAGTGCAAATGAGTTCTTATTTGTCACTTTAGTCAGATTTAAGGAAACAAATGGCATTGCCCTTGTGAAGGAAAGGAGACAGAGTATCTGTGAGTCCTTTTAAGATTCTTCCCTGGCAATCAGAGCAGAAAGATAAAGGGTAGGTGTATTAGTTTTCTCAGATTACCATAACAAAGTACCACAGACCACGTAGCTTAAATGATAGAAACTTACTGTCTCAAATTTATGGAAGTGAGAAGTTCACAATCTGGGTGTTGGCAGGCATGGCTCCTTCATGGGACCTCTCTCTTTGGCCTGTGGATGGCTATGTCTCCCTGTGTCTTCATGTGTTCTTCCATCTGTGTGTGTTTCTGACCTAACTTCCTCTGATAATATCACCAATCATACTGATTTAGGGCCTCCAGAATGATCTTATATTAACCTATTTGCTTCTTTAAAACCTTTATCCCCAAATAGAGTCATATTTAGAGGTACTTGTAATTAGTACTTCAAATTTTTTTTTATTTTGTTTTCTTTCTTTTTTTTTTTGAGGGAGACTGGGTGGAAAATAATTCCACCCATAACAGAAGAGAATCAGAGTATTATTGCAATCTAAGTTTAGTATTAACTATTTAGAAACCCTGGCTACTTTTTTGGGCTTCTTGGAGAATGGATTCAGGCCTCTGGGAGTTTCCTTTGTAGTTGGGTGAGTGGGCTCTTGTGTATTGCAGAGGCCTGAATGAATTAGATGGCAACTAGCAGGATTGAAATGATTGTCACATTTAGAATGTTAGTACTCAAATTGTGTGTCCATATGCTTCCAGAAAACATATTACTGATGCTCTGAGGAGGGTAAAGTTTCAGGGGTTCCTGATTAGGCCAATTTGAAATCCTTTGCATTAGTACCCTATTGGAGATTTTCCTTTACAATTCATCAAAATGTTTTTTTTGCTCAGAGGCAATGGATTATCTACTTACATATTAAAAAGAATAGATGTAATAGAGTTCATTTTGTCTTTTAAAAAATCAAACTCTTGCTCTAGAAGTCAGGCTTTCAAAACATGCAGGATGTATTCAGGGCTTAATTCTGTATAATTTTCTAAAACAGCTTTTGTTGTTTAAATGACACGTTCCCAGTTAACTGAGCAAAAAAGCAGTGAATGCACTTCAGCTGAGGCAAGTGGTAACGATCTAGGATGACAGCAGATCCTCCCAGATGAGAAGTTTTTGCTGAACAAAGTGGTCTGAATCCTTTATGGCTCCTGATTTTGCTTGAACTTGCTAGTGTGCAAAAGTGGTTGTTTCTGTCGACTTCCTGGGGACATTTTTTGATGACTCCCAGTGGGCCACTTTTGTGAATTCAGGTGTACATGGCATCCCCCTTTGCACCATCTGCTCTTTTCTGTTCTTTGAAGGTGAAAACCAGAGTGCAGTGGTGCTTCCCCTTTTTTCTTTCAACTCTGAAATTTCCTTACTGAGCGATGTGGCATCTGAGGACCCCTGTGTCTACATAAGAGGCTGGATACCCTATTTGTATGCACTAGAAATGAAAATGTTTGGATGAGAAGCAGGTTAAGGGAGGACATGCTTTCTTGTTTGATTTTGTTAGGGTATTTTATCTGCAAGGAGAGAGCCCAGTGCTTCATGGTACTGCAGTTTCTTGTTCACATCAGCTATTTTGATAGAGGCTCATTATCACTGAGATAGAGGTCAGGAATGACACACTTTAACTTTGGGCAACACTGTCCTAGGAACTTCAGTGTAATCTGGCTCAATTCTGCTTTAAATATGAAGAATATTAATTAAATTGTGTGTAAGGATTGATCAAACCCTTAAGGGAGAGAAACTATTTAATGGATTGTTTTCTTTCTACTACTGATTTGGTCACTAGGATTTTTATAATTAATTGGTTCCTTGCAGAGTAACTGTACTACAGTCACTGTTCTTACAGTAAAGTTAATATGTAAAAAATCAAGACTTTTCACATTGTCCCTGGTGAATTAATTAATTTCACGTTGTACCTGGTGAATTACCTGGTGAATTAATTAAATAAAATGAATACTAGCATAACCAAAATGTGGTCTACACTTGATGAAATATTATTCAGGCATAAAAAAGAAGGAAATTCTGTTGCATTTCTACAACATGAGTTAACCTTGAAAGCACTGTACAAAGTGACATAAGCCACATGCAGACAGAACAAATGTTATGTGATTCCCCTTATATGAAAAAACTAAAATAGATAAACTCAGAGACAGGAAGTATTATTAAGGTCAGCAGTGCCAGGGCATGGGTGAAGCGGGAACTTAGTGTTTAATGGCACAGAATTTATGTCTGGGATAATGAAAATACCCTGGAAATGGATAATGGTGACAGTTACAAAACATTGTGAATGTACTTAGTGCCACTGAACTGCATACTTTAAAAGGGTTAAAACTGTAAAGCTTTTATAATGTATATTTTATCATAATAAAAAAGTTTTAAAATTGATTCTAACACAGAAGGGTATATTAGACATATAAATTCAAAATATAAGGATTGAGGGTTTTATACTTTAGATATATATCACCTAAGGTTATAAAACTGCTTTTGGACATTTTCTCTGTGAATCTGGCCCTAATCAGCAATAGAGAAAACCTTACCTCCAGGGTGTTGCCAGGAATATAGCCTTAGATGAGTGTCCCAATTCTCACTCAGCTTTGTTTTGGGACAGGTAATATTATTCATGGAAAGTATCTCAAAGGATATAGTCCATTAATTATTTTAACCCCTGGGTCAATCAAATGGTCAGATTGTTGAGTGCTTGGCCCCCACTCCATTTTTCCTCACTAAATCACTTCAGTGGATTGTGCTTTGGCATCGTGTCTCTATGAGGCAGAATCCCTTGCAGTGGAACCTTGGTTTTTTCTCTCAGCTCCTTAGCTAATTGAATAGGGCCCACCCGCATTATGAAAGAGAGTCTGCTTTATTCGAAATCTGCTGATTTAAATGTTAATCACATTAAAATAATATCTTCACAACAGCTGAACTGATGTTTGACTAAACAACTGGGAACCATTGCCTTGCTTGCCAAGTTGACACATAAAATTAACCATCACAGATAAGAATACATCCATAATAGACTTTTTAAAAAATTGGGCTTGTTATCTTTTTATATTTGCTTATTTGAGTGCATGTAGGGAAAGGGTCCAAGTCCCTCCCACCTCTTCATCTAGGTTCAGCTCTCATGCTGTCATTATTTCATCAGCTAATAGGGCTGTCTTCCAAACCATGTTGGTTAAATTGCATAGAGTCTTCATTGTGGATGTGTTGAACGTGTGAATGTGTGAATGCTATGGCCTGCCAAATCCCCTGTATAAGTCAGTGCTATAGAGTGCCAGCCCTTTTGTAAACAGCCATTTTTTGGAGGGATGTGATGAGGTGTATGATTTCACCAATTATTACCATTCCCAATTAGACTGAGCCCAGGTGTGTGTTCATAAAATGTTAGCTCACTCATCTCTGTAACACTAACGGCTCCACCTTGACTCCATTCCAGGGATTTCATGCATTTGATACTGTTCAATTGATCACATTGTTGTCGTTCTGTTCTGAAAGGCCTTCAAACATTTGGAGACCTGATTTTGGTTAGGAAACACTCTACTTAGGAAATGTAACTCAGCAGCAGTGGTAACTCTTACCTTGTCTTTCTTTGGTAGGCTGAGAGTGTTGGGTCCAAATGCACTGTTTCAGAGTGGAGTTAACAACTGTGCTCTTTCTTAAGGTAAGAATTGCATCTGTTATAGACAATGCTTGGATTCTCAGTGGGGAGCTCTGGGTTAAGTTGTGGGGGATCCCCGTGGACTCTTGAACACATTAGGAGTGGGTCCTTTCCCCAACTTCTGGGTAGTTTACTAGTTTTATATCTCCTGGTCCCTCACTGCTTACCATGGTACTAGGATTTGGAAGCCAGGCTTGGATTTACAAGATTTCTGTGAATCCAAGATTTCTATGAGCCGCCAAGTCCAGGAAATGGTTAGTGGAAGAAAGATTTCTCTGCTTACCACAACAGAGAAAACCTACCCAGAGTAACCTTCCCATTGCCTGGGGTGAAGGTATGTGGAGATGGTAGTGATGCTCAAAAATATATCAGATAAAATAATTTGCTGACTGTACTTTGTACATATGGACACTAATTATTGAGTGTTGGTAATTACAAAGACACTTAAATGTTAAGGCTTAGAAAATATTTATTCATCCAAAACAGGATGAGAGTATTTCGCAAACAAATAAGAGATGGCAGCATAGATGTGGGCACATATAAAGTTGTGTTGCAGTGTGATGGCTTTTTACTTCATTCATTCTACCTTTTGACTTTAGGTATAGTGCTTAATACAGAGGTTGAACAAATTAGACTGTTAGGTCTGTCTCCATTTTCCTAGGTGAAAAAAAATCAAATCATAGGTCTGGTTTGCTAACGTCAAGCTGCAATGCCAAGGAATACCTTCATGAGGCTTTGGGGACTGACCCTGTCCACTGAGTAATCCACTCTCCCACTAGCAGGGCTGTCAGCTCTCAGCCCAAAGGCTCTGCCCTGCAAGCAGACCTCCCACCTTGCATGTGCTGGGTAGAAGGGAGGGAACAAACATTCAAAGGAAATTGTCTGCTATTATGAGCTGATTGGGCTGTGGCCATGTTTACACTCCTTTTTCTTGTCAAAAGAGAAAATTGAATTATTATTTATTATCATCTGTGTTTGTTAATGATAATTATATGTTTCAAGACAAAGCAGAATTCTGTAAAATACCTATTCAGATGCCTTATTCTTTGCCTTTATAAATGGATGACATTGTGCTACTCTAATTAGGCCAAGAGAACAAGTAGGAATCTGTATATTATCATCACTTCTCTCCCCAGGGCATATTGAGTGGTGTGTGAGCAATTACTTCAATTTAAGAGTCTGCTATTAACAAACCCAAAAGCATGAAGATCAGAGTGGTGACCAGCCAGATAAGACACAAATAGAGTTCAGGGGGTCAGCAAGGACTTAATTTTTTGTTAGTAAAAGTATTAACCACAGTACTGCACTGCGAATGTAATTATTGTAGTGTCAATAATAACAACTGGGACAAAAATCACAATTATGATATTAGCCATCACCATCATGACATCTGGTATAAAGCCTCTACTTTTTGCCAACCACCAGATTAGGCATTACACATGTGTCATCTCTTTTAATCTACATGTCATTCCCGGGAGGAAGATCCTAATAGTGCCTAATTTTTACAGTTGAGGAAACTGAAGTTTTCAGAGATTAGGTCAGTTGCGTAAAGTTAGACAGTCAAGCCAAAAAGGAACAAAACTGGAATGTAACCCATAGAGGAACACAGAATAATGTTCAACCACATGCAGATGTTAATGCCACATTATCTATAGACTATCATTAATTCTCAATGGGTCCCTTGATTTTTACCTGGTTTGTCCATGCCATGAAGCTATTGACCTATACTAAATTCAGTAACTAAAACCTATGGAATAAAGCTGCTTCTGTGGAAGCCAGACTTGTCATTTCTGATCCTACATTCTACATAGATCCAAAGAAGCAAGATCCTTCATTCCCATCGTATTTCCTCACAAAGATCTGCATTAGCAAGATCTTGCTACTGTGGTATTGCCTCCTCCCCAGGTTTGATCATTAGCTAGCTTTAGGTTTTTACAGGTTGGAGTGCTGACTTCAGTGCCCTCCCTGGCCCCAGGTGAGTGGGATGAGAATTTGGAAGTTCCATGTAGTGGTTGATAAACTTGTTGGTAACTAAACAAGCGTGCTGGTTTCACATATGTGTGTTTGTGTTTTAAGTGCTAGGAATAACAAAGCTCATTTGTGTAGGATTATTAGTTATGTGTTGCATAACAAAACCACCCCATACTAATGGCTTAAAACAACAACCATTTTATTTGCTTATAATTCCCATGGTTCAGCCATTTGGGCTGTGTTCAGCTGAGTGGCCCTTTACTTAATCTCACCTGGCCTACTTATGTCACTGCATGTGGCCAATGACCAGGAGCCATTTGGTCTTGGGGACCTCAGGTGGGATAACTCATCTCAGACGTGGTCTCATTCTCCAGGAGACTGACTTCAAAACCATCGAGAGAACAAGAGCAGAAGGTGCAAGCTTGAAGCTTGGACTCAGGAATCAAACTGCCCTACTTATGCCTCATTCTGTTGGTCAGAAAGAGTCACATATTCAGGCCAGATTCAAAGGAAGATGATTGGAAATAGACTCTACCTTTTAAGGGAATAGCAACAAATAATTAATGACCATTTAACATTTATCATAGGCTATTAATTTTGACATGAAAGCGATCTGAAATTATTTCATTTTAAAGTTATTTTATATTTAAATAACCCTGGAGTAGGGATGATCTTAGTAAGAAGACAAGCCGGAAAATGAGGTTTAAGTAATGTGCCCAAAAAAATAATAATAAGTATAATGGCAGCAAAGAGTAATATTTTTCTTGTTATATGCTGAGTACTGTTTCAAATCCTTTACATATCATAACTCATTTAATCATCACAAAATCTTATGCACAGCTATTATTTTTATTGCTGTTTGATAGGTAGAAAATTGAGGCACAAAGGGGTTAAGTAACATCTCTCAAAGGTGTACAGCTACTAAGTGGCAGAACTGGGATTCCATCCAGAAGGTCAGGTTCCCGAATCTGGATGTTAACCCTAAGTGTATCTCAATGGAAAGTAAATCTTCGTGAGTCTTCACAGAATTCTCCTTTGGACCATACGGTTTTTATAGAGACAGTGGTATTAGCGGTTTGTAAAGGGTCACTGGGGCTTTCTGGGTACAATTATGTGAGCAAAAATGTCTGTTCATATCATAGGCAATCCTTTGGGAATCATAAAGATAATTGTGACCCCATGGAACAGAGTGATTCTCCCAGCCCAGCAGTGTCTACCGTGCTGGTGGGTGGACCATTTTCTTTTGCTGTAGAAATATCTGAAGAATGAGAATTTTGAATGATGCCTTCTGTAGCCTTTCATGTAGCCTTTTGGTTTTGGCTTTAATCAGAAACATGCTGCCCCAAAGCAAAGAATGTTGTGTTTATTTAGTTTTTGTTTAAGATTACTTTAGGGAAAGGATGGGTTGACAGCCGTCTCGTTTAATATTTGCAGAACTAAATTCAGTCCAATCCCCAGATAGTCCAGGTGGCTTATCTGAGAAAAATGATGAATTTTGTTGACATTTCTGAGGTCATTCTTCCCAACATGAATGAAGTGGCCCCAGTACCCATATCTTAACAATGAGATACCTTGATTTTTTTTTCCTCAGTTTGAGTGGTTTAGAACATGTCTAACAGACAGGATTATATTTCTTATTTTGTATTTAACACTAGAGTAGGGAAGAGTCCACCAGTCTAAGGCTCATGGGAAGTCACTCAATGTATCTAGAATTTTCTCTCCCTCAAATCCCACTCTCCCTTCTGGACTCCACAACTAACCTGGTGATGTTCTCTACTTTTCATGTTGACTCAGTTACCATGAGTGTGTGCTCTCTTGTTCTTAGAGGGGTTTTCTGCACCATTTTCCTACTTTAGAACTCCTGTGTTCACTGTTACACTCACTTGAGCTAGAATTTGACCAGAAGGTGGGCAACTAGACATGCACAACCCACCGGAATTAAAAGAGTGTTAATGAGACAGGGGCTAGGGAGAGCCATGCGCTGACCTCCCCAACCTTTCATCCAGAGTGTCTGTGAAGGATAGCTTCACAGACTGATGGTTGAGCACCAAATCCTCAGGATATTTGCTTTATATCGGTGGAAACTCTATTTCTCTCATAATCTTTTCCTTCAGCTGATCTTGAGAAGTGTTTAGTTCTGAGCTGCGTTAAGTATTTGTTCCTTATGGGTGCTCACTTCTTTTCTGCTTTTTTAAACCCACTGCAACAGTGTGTTCCCTACAGTAGAAACTGAAACCTGACAGGCAGGTCTCTCCATCAGAGACTGCTCTCATTCAAACAGTGCTTTCCAGTGGGCTGTTTCAGCTGAATCACTCGGCCTGCTTTAGACAGAATGGCTCAGGACAGACCGCAGGCAGGAAGCATCTTCTCTTTCAGAGCCTTTGGGCTGTTCTTTCCCCTCCATAAACTTAATTGCTTCCTGTGATGTGTCCGGCAAATAGACCTGTGCGGCCTTAGCTCCCTCCTCTCTGGTCACTCAGGACCATCAAAGCCTATGGCTTTGTTTTTCTACAGGTTTGGTTGATTAGCATGTGGTTTACCTTTGGCTTGTGCTAACATTCTTTATTCTGGGGGACTAGGTTTCTGTTTAGCAATATGATGATAAAGAAAGCTGCCTGGCAGAAAGATGTGATTGTGCATATATGTGTGGGCTGCGGTATGTGAGATAAGCTGGGCCTTCTGGGACAGCAGGCAAGCAGTCTTGATCTACTGGGCTGAGGACATTGTGGTTCACCACAGCATCCCCACATGAATGAAAAGAGCCTGTGTCTCCTGACGGGAGCGTTTCCTCACCTCATCTCCAGAGAAGATATTGCAGACATGGCATTGCCTTGATTTCTCTGCAGTGTGATTCACCCTGGGATTGCTGTTCTCCTTTCTTGTTGGTTTTAGGACCAATATTTTAGGAAGACAGTACTTGAAAATTTCTGGAGGCTCTTCCTTTTTTTTTTTCTTATAGTGAAAATGATTGCGTAATAATAAACAGAAAGGGAGTGAGGGGAAAAAAGGAGTTTGCTCAAGGCTGGCTCTTG